AGGGTTATAAAGAGAAGAGGAAGAGGAGCCATCAGTAAACCTAAAAGGGACCCAGTGATAAACTTCCAAGTAAAGGTGGCAAAAAGGTGTAGTAGGATATGTCCCGCAAGCATGTTAGCGGATAGACGGACACCTAAAGAGAAAGCACGAGCTACATAAGAGACACTCTCGATTAAAACTATAAGAGGAACCAAAGCTAAAGGAGTACCTCCTGGAACAAATAGAGAAAGGAAGTGTAACCCATGTAGTTTAAGACCAAGGAGGGTTACCCCCAGTACTATAGTAGAGCTAAGACCTAGGGTTAAAGCAAGATGGGCCGTTGCGCAGAAAGAGTATGGGATGAGACCTAGTAAATTAGTAAATAGGATAAATAGGAACAAGCTGTAGATCGCAGGAAAAAAAAACGGAGCGTGCGGCTCCTAATTGGGAGTTGACCAGGTTGTGTACAAAGCCAAATAGGGCTTCCTGGGCCAGGGCCCATGCATTTCTCCGGCCTACCCCCTCTGCCATACTAGTTAGTATCATCAGACACAATATGAGGGCTAACACCACTAGGAGGTAGAAGACTATGTTAGTCAGCCCGATTTGTATATACCCGAACAGTGGCCCTTCCATTGCTACAAACTTTATAATCTCAAACTGCTCTAGAGGGTTATAAATCTTGATTATATGCGACATTGCTAGAGAGACTACTCTTTGGAATATCCTTATTTCCAGGTTTCGGATACTAATCTAAGTTTAGTCTTAGAAGAATAAGTTTAACTTCTAGACCTATACCCCTGGTGACCTAGGTATAAGAGGAAGATTATATTACCCCACCCTGTTACCTACTCAAAAATATTGAATGATTGATAACTGCTAAAGTTTTGAGTTTAGGTGACAGTGATCTAATTTTGACTAGGGCCCAGCTAGAGCTATCGAACAGGAAGGCCCGGGATTCGCCTACCCCTAGGGTCCAGCCCTCGGCCCACCCTCGGCCCAAGGACTGAGGGCCCTTGGTCCTCAGGCCGGGGGGAGTGAGGGCCCTGGGTCCTCAGACCGGGGGTTGGCTTCCTGGTACCGGGTCTACTGCTGGGTTCCTCCTGGTGGACCCTGCCCTACTTCTGCCTGGCTCATGCCATTTCCCCCAGGCTCCGGCTCACATGCCACAAGCGCCGAAGGCTGGCACGCAATCTTGCCAAGTCTCTGGGCAAGCCTATGCTTCATTTTGGGTTCGGCTCTAACCCAGCCCTCGGCCCAGGACTGAGGGCCCTGGGTCCTCAGACCGGGGGAGCTAAAGGGCCCAAGCGGCGGGAGACAGAGGAGCACAAGTACAACACTTACACAGGAAGAGAGGCGTCCATCCCGTCCTTTTCCGGTGTTCCCTCTAGGCCAGGTTTCCGGTCAGAGTGGCTAGCCCTAGAGGTATACCCCGAGGCAGGTCCTAACCTCGCTATGTAGGCGAGGTACTTTCAGGGGTAGATGAAGACAAAGTAAAGGGAAACCGTCTGCCTTTCATAGCTTCTTCGAGATACAAGGCATAAAGCCTAAAGGAGGGGGTAGTGGTATTAACTATTTCTTTCAGATGTTGGCAATGGCGCAAACTCTCCTGAGGGCGTTGATTGCGAGCATGGAAGCGATGCTAAAGGCAAGCGGGGAGAAAGGACAAGCATCAGGATTAGTACCCGTTCTTAACAAGGAAAAGGTATGCTAACCCTCATAAACGAGATGGAGAACGACTTGCCGACCGTTGTTAAGATTTGCTTCCAGAAGCCGACGAAGGCCTAGCGAACCCAGAAGCCCATGCTGAGTTTCAGGTGCTTAGTACCTCGTGGATAATGCATGGTATGGTTCGTTGGGGAAATGTGAGCGTTACAGAAGGCATTAAAAAGATGGAAAGATGAATTAGGCCAACAAGTCAACCATTACTTAAACACCGTAAGCCATCCGGAACTAGCCAGATAGCCCTTATGCTCAGGAGCCGGAATGGTCTTCTGAAGGAGATACCTCGACTTATTGGTTTATGGTGGAAGGAAGAAAAAACTAAGATAGAAAGGAATAATCACATTATTTGAGTGGTCAACACTTCCTACGCAGTAAACCACGAATTTCCCTTCCTCCTGGTATTTTTCCACAATTGAAGTACTTTAGGATATTTTTTATCAAGATATCATCCTTACTATTAAGCCTAATAGAAAATGTAGGAAGCACTCTAGGTTACCCTGTAGGTAACCCTTCCTTGTCTTTGCGTGGTGAGATCCAAATATTAAAGCAACTCTCCGCTTCTGCAAACCCTCAAGGGAAGAGAGTCTTAAGGACAGAATCGACATAGCCAGCGCCAAAATAGTTGTTTTAAACCACTCTAAAATCTGCAAGTGGTCTATGTTAAGGGTTACTGAGAATTCTAACTGCACCTGGGGTATCTTTAGATTATTGTATATAAACTTAACACCGAAATAACCCTCCGCATCAATAAATCCGAAAGCCATTGACCCAGATTTTGGGGAACGTCTTCCAAAGGAACGGCAAATTTTCTGTTAGCCAAGCGTTAGCTCGAGATAGCTCATTGACAGTTTGAGTATTATCTATCTTATCAGGTAAATACTCAGATAGTGTTGTATAAGACCGGGAGCCTACGGATGGGGGAATTTTTTGAAGAGACGGTGTAGAAGAAGTAGAAGAAGACGAAGAAGAAGAAGAAAGAAAGGATGAGCGAGTAGAGTGAGTGGCTAAATCCGAGAGGGTATTTTCCACCACTCCAAGTAGAGGAACAAAGAGTAAAAAGTAGGCAAAGTAGAAGAAGGTACAGATTTGGCCAAGGAAAATATAAGGCACTTCTGGATGCTGAGATCCTATCCACATAAGGAGAAAGAAATTAGTAACAAAAGACCAGAAGGCAAGACGCATAAATGGTCGAAAGGCGCAAGAACGTATACGGGAAGTCTCAAGGAATGGTAAGGCTAAGAGTATGAGGATAGCCCCTAGCATTGCTACAACCCCTAACAACTTTTGAGGGATAGCACGGAGAATGGCATAAAAAGGAAGTAAATAGAATTCAGGCACAATAGAAATAGGGGTTTGCATAGGGTTGGCTGCTATCGAGTTATCTGGGTGCCCCATAGCATTTGGGGCAAAGAAGACGAAGAAGGCTAGAACTAAAAAGAAGACAAAGAAACCAACTAAATCTTTAAAGACGTAGTAAGGATAAAAAGGTACTCTGTCGAGGCTACTAGTTACCCCCAGTGGATTATTTGAACCGTGCTGGTGGAGCGCTATAAGGTGCATAAAAGCCAATACCGTAAGAACAAAAGGTAAAAGGAAGTGCAGACTGTAGAATCGGGTAAGCGTAGGATTATCCCAATATGTTGGTGACCAACAGTGAAACATATTTCACCTCTCGTCACACGCCATAACTCACGCTATGGTTCGGACTATATCATAATATGGCATTTCATAGTAAATTGCGGATTTTTTTTACCGTAATTAGACGGAATATCTAGATGACTATATCTAGCATTGACCCTAATCTCCTTAAAGAATAGAAGATACTGAAGTCGTTTGTACCCTTTGAGTTTAGCTTCAGCACGATCCAAAAAGTGAATAACATTTTGAAGGCCGGCCTCTAGAACTAGTGGTCTTTATCCGAACACTATTGTCTTTATCTGCATAAGGGTTAGCGTTTATTGATAGACGAACCCTAATAGCATCTATAATTTGCGCCCCTTTAGTTTGACCAACTTAAAAACTGACACTCTTATTGGTCTCACCTGAAGGTTGATAAATTGAAAAAGATCCTTCACTTGAAAGCCTACTAGCCAATTATCAAAGTAAGTACATGCTAGAATAAGATCAATGGTTTCGAATGGTGTATGATCGGGACGTGCATAAGATTTAAGATTATAAATATAAGTAACATTATTAAGAAGATTGTTTCTTAAATAATATAATCCCAATGCTTGGAAGTAAACATAGGATAAGAATCAAAAATAGGAAAGACAATATTGCGAAGATGGGCCTTAGAAGTGAGCTTGAAAAGGACAATTCCTTCCCGAGTTCTTCTCCGGGAGACTCGACCTACTCCTAACATTTCCTTTAGCTTATAGAGTAACTTAATATCTTTTTCAGATACTTCTATCCCAAACTCATACTTGCAATAAATCCCATTCTTAGTAATTGAAAACCAGCCATCACCTTCCAAAAAACCCACTAACCATGCCATATCCTTTGCGTTTAGTCTCTGAGGAGCTGTTGAGCTAAAATATCGACAAATTAGCTTACATACCCCGGCTGATAGACTCCTTGTAACACGAATTGTCACATTGTTTTTGATCAAAGATACCATTAAATATCCAATACATAATATAATAGTAATATTAAATAGATTGTACTTTGACAACAAGTACCGTGTTCCATAAATTGGAGTTATCCCAGCATCAAGCAAAGTTTTCATATTATTGTTATATGCCGCAGTAATTACGGAAAAGCCTCCCCATACAAATTCCACCAGATCCCTGCCAATCCAAGGTATGGCCGAAAGAAGATTTGTAATTACCGTTGCCAAATTCCTCGGTTAGGTCTGTTCTCTCCTGACTCTCCCCCCCCTGTACTTTACAACCATTTTGTTTTCAGCAAGTATGCAAAACATAGTACATTATTCTTTCCTAGAACGAAGGAATTACGTAAAGCCCTAGACACGAAAGTGAGGAATTCCGACTATACATTAAGCATCATACTCCGGCGATAGATATCACCGGTCTCAGACACCCACCGGTGGACTAGTCTGTAGCGGTTCTACACATAACCGACGGTCTGGGTATAGGAGAGAGAGACCTTTGACCGTTAACACCGGCATCGCCTACCCGCAATAACAACTGTTTTCCTGTGTAGGTTGCACAGAATTAGCAGGTAGACTATGTTTGATACCTACCCAATTTATAGTGCATACTAGGTACCATATAAGGCTTAACAATTTTAGACAAATTAGACATAGACTCAGAATGAATGTAAAGCACCCACTGATCGCCATCTTTATTAGGTCTAGCTACAATACCGTACTTTTCTCGTAAAACCTCACACAAAAACAATACATCCTTATAACAAAAAGAATTCGTGGTAATCTTCATACCATAAGGAAGAGCAGTAGCGTAATCCATTATCCAAACAGCGAGAGCAAGTGGTGAGATATAGTCTCCAATATTAAGAGGCACAACCTTAATACCCTTTGGGTAAAAAGTCTCGTAAATCCAATTAAAACTTGAAAAGGTCCAAGTGCGAATTTGGTAATAATGACGCACCTTCCCTCCCTTTTCGGTCCTGATATGTAATTTGGGCTTAGTCGTAGAGCAATAACCCCGACTAGCTAAGAACTTATGGAACCACCTCAAGTATTCTACATTAGAACTTTCCTGCTGAAGACGTATTCTAGTACCATTCCCATGCCTCTCAGCGTTAGAATCACCTAGCATAGATCCCATAATTAGAGATAAAACGTCATAATTGTGTGGCCCTATACGCCTTAGAGCTCTAGTATGAGGGTTACAAATGGGTAGGCATAAACATGTGGGCCAATCATAGGGTTCAGCCCAAAAGCTCATTTGCGTTATCTATCTAATTGACAATATATTGTGAAGAAAGGATCACCTTCCCCTGTTAAGATAAGGGAGGACCCCGTTAAGATAGGAGGAGGATAACTAGGCTTAATTTAGCCCAATTTGATATTTAATTGATTGGTGAATATAAGGAGTAACAAGTTCTCTTAATCGGCTCATCTCTTTTGCAGTAATATAATAATCCAATTGTCATAGTTAGCTCTAATATTACTCTTAATACCGAAGTTCTTTTCAATAACTGATATAAGCAGTTCTACTTCTTCTCGAGTAAAACAGTTAGTATGAATAAGTATTCCAGCACCAGTGTACGCTCCGTCTTCGGAAATCCAATAAGCTAAGCTCTAGGAGTAAGATAATCAGCTATATTAGCTGGGACAACCTTATTTTTTATTAGGATAGAACATTTCATCAAATTGAATCCTACTGAAGTTTTAGTCCTAAATGTGAAAAAGTAATGTATACCTCCTTTACCATCCAAGGTAGATTTAGAGATTGGAATTAAAGCTGTGGTATACCCCCATAGAGTAACTGGAAATAAATAAGATACTGGTGATGCTTAACTGATTGTTTGAAAGTAATTCGTGTATTACCCCGTCGTTCAGCTGATGCATCTCCTAGAAGACAACCGATTACTATATCTTGCACCTTTTGAGGCAATTTCAATTCACTAGAAGAAATAGGAGAAGCTCCAGTTAAGAGGCCTCGTACATTCGTATTACGAG